TAGTGCATAAGTCGTCTTGGACTAAGCCTTACTAGTCTACGGTGCGTATTCATAGTCAAACCTCATCCTTAAGGCTTCCTTAAATTTATTTTTAGATGTTCAGTAGCCATTAAAATAAGTCGTATTTCGTAGAGCATCTGAAGATAAACTTAAGGAGCCTTAAATATAAAGCCTGACTATAAATATGGGTATACGTCTCTTCGGGTTAATGGAACGGTATTAAGTTACTTGTAAACCTGAAGAAGTTAGTTTAATTCTCCCTTTAAATCACTGGCATAGTGTTAATTCACTTGTAAATTTAAAGGATATTCTACTGTTAATTTTTGCAAGAACCTCCAATTGTATAAGTATAATAGTTGTTTCTATATACAAATCTTTATTTTCTTCCGATCTTTATTTTCTTCGGGTCACTGGAACGGTATTAAATTACTTGTAAACCCGAAGTTAGTTTAATTCGCCCTTTAAATCACTAGCATAATGTTAATTCACTTGTAAATTTAAAAGATATTCTACTGTTAATTTTTGCAAGAACCTCTGATTGTATAAGTATAATAGTTGTTTCCGTATACAAATCTTTATTTTCTTCCGATATAACTAAAGTTATTTTCATTCAATTCAATTTCTCTTAAATATTTCTCTTTTGAAAATAATTCTAAGTTATTATTAAATTTTACATATCTGTTTAGTATACTAAAATATTTGAATTGGAAAAATAATAGAAGATATTTGTATTACCAAATTCTATAGATACATTAGCTAATTAGCTTGTAAATGTGTAATTTGAAACACGTTTTTGTGAATGTTTCTTTAATAGATAGGCATTAGCCATTGTAGAATTCTCTACAATGTGCTTTTTGTTTCCTGTTTCCTATTATTTGTCTCTTGCTTTCTTGATCAAAAAAGTAAGAGACAAATAGAGACAAATAGCAAGAAACGGGAAACGAAAAGCACATTGTAGAATTAGCCTTGAACTGCGCGAGAACCTCCATCAGTGTTGCGAACATTAAGTTGATCGCACCTTAAATGTGGTCAATTGTGTTTCTTCTAATACATTTAGCTACTAGATACTAGCAAACATTTTGTTCCCAAATTGTTATCAAATTAACATTAAATTCTAAAGAAATTAAATACCAAAAAAACAGCCTTAGGGTGCCACCACATACAGTCCGCAATTTATACTGCACCTCACGTAATCCGCATCTACATAAAAAGAGAGTTCTTACGCACGTCAGAAAACAGACCACTTGTTCTATTTACATCATCACTAATAACATATATCAAAGATTCATGTTGCACTTCTGATTTCAAAATTGTTGTCAAACAAATTAATTAATCACTATTTATAAATTAAAAGTAGGTTGTGACACGTTAATTTTTGTTTAATGTCGGAGTGTAATTGCATTGCGTGGTTACATGCTCCTTGTGTCCCATGGAGCGTTTTCATGTTTATGTATGGTATATTCGCTCTATCCTGTGCCTCCTGAATCCAATTGACTTCAGCAGGTCAGGTAATGTCATCGCACCATCTTAACTATGGTCTCATAGCACTTCTAGTTGTTACTTTCGGTCTTCACGTTAGTAGTTTCTTGCACTTTGTAAACCAAATGATAAACAACATATTTGGTAACTATTATAGTTACTTGATAGGCTGCTTTTAATCTAAACAATTTTCATAACTTTTACTTCAACTATTTATTTCATCCATCGGAAGTTTTTTGAGAGCAGGCCGCTATGTTCTTTTTCGAGTCATTAACAAATTAATACTCTGAAATTACAAGCAATTATTTTTCATTGTACGGTCTAGTATAAATTTCAAATCAAATCTCAATAACCGATTAAATATTTAGGAGGGGGGACATTTCAAATTATTAGAGTTGCGTTGCAAGACTGAAATCTTTCGGCGCGCAATAATTAAGGAGAGGGGACATTTCAGATTATTAGAGTTGCGTTGCAAGATCGACAATTGTTCGCGCAATTTGGGGGGACCCGCGGGGGGACTACATATATTAATAGAACGTTATTTCCTATTTTGGATAAATATTGCGAAGAATATTACTACGTCGACTCGCCATCAGAGGTCTATCGATATTCGCAAATTCTTGTACGTGCTGAGACACGTGTATATCTCTTTATATAGAATCTCGATTTAATAACTTACTAAGGCGTATAAGGTAGGCTTCCACTACAATACCTTACTGATGAGTCCAGTAGTGGAAGCCGGGACGAAACGCCAAAAATTACGTGATATTCTTCGCAATATATAATATTAGAATAAATTATCAGATTTAGATTTTAATCGGCCCTATGGATCGTCAAGTCATCGATATTGAATGCCGCGATTATATCCGTGTGGGCAGATATGGCAATCGCTTTTTTTAAATGTATTCTGATCTAATGTTTAGGTAATCATTGCAATAAGAAAACTTTTCCCTGTACCACTCTCGCAACTTACGTACAGTCGCAGAATCTGACTTTTTATTTTGTAAAACGTGGCATACTCTATGGACGACTTTTTTCTGGTCTTCGTTCAATTGCGACATTTTTTGCGATAAATTAATCGGAATGTCAATCTTACCAAAATCATCCAGATCTTTCATCGCGTCGTCAGCTCCTATCGGATTGCAATCCAGTTCATCGTCATCGGATTTGTCTCTGTCTGCTGTTTTCATATCGTTTTCGCCGAAATTATCTGGGAAATCGGTCTGAGAAGGGTATCTAGTTTATGTATTTTATGGCAGATCGTACAATCTTGGTGGAAGAAAATCAGTAGGTTTCAATGTGGTTTTGCTAGGTAGGCCGCACTTTTCATCATGAATTCATTATAAATTCCTTCATCTTGGCAATAGTCGATTTTTTAATTGAAATTTCTTGACTGATCTTGTCTGAAATACGGGTGAATGTTTTCATATATTAATACTAGGTTAACACATTTAATAATTAATTACTTTTCATTAGAATCTGGTAATTCCGTGTATATATGCATACACTTCTCAACAAAATTAAAGGATCACTGTTCCACCCTGCAAAAATAGGCAAACTTTGAAATCCGTGTAATGTCTTTTTTTAAGTACTCAAACGTGAAAATTTTTTTTTGGACCTCCAGTAGTTTAATAAATATTCGGAGTAGCACTACAAAAATTCTTACGATTGTCTTTAATGATTGTAAAGTTACAATAAAAGTTAGAAGATTATAGCCATTCCTTGTCTTCGATAGCAACATTTTCTAACTACCCAGACGTAAAAATTTTTCATCAGATATCCAATTGTTTAATAAAAGTTCCAGTCAGCTTTTAAAAATTCTCACGATTAACTTTAATATTCGAAACGCTACAATAAAAATTAGAAAAGTTATGATCATTCGATTGCGAAATCTTTTAAGTACTCAAATGTAAAATTCACCCAAAAAAAAATATTCTGCCGATAAGCGGGAATTCCTCTTAGCATTTATTCTAAGCAGAAATTTTTACAGAAAGAGTATTCCTCTTCCAATGCACTGGACTATTCATCAAAAATATATTGGAAATTATTCTAACAGTTTTCTTCTTGTATTAAGAGGAATATGTTAACTTAAAGCGCAATGCCCTCTTACGAGTAACATAAAAAGCAATGTGTAAGATTTTTACTACAGATGCAAAACAAAAGTACTCTAACTGCAAGAATATTGGCTTAGAATATTTTCCTCTCGATTTCAGAAGATTCCTCTTGAGGTCGTATATAAGAATAAAATCCTCTAAGATTTAGCGGATTCTGCTAATATTAAGATTTTTTTTTTGGGTGTTTGTTTTGAACTTTCAACAGTTCGATAAAAGTTTTGGTAAATATTTCGAATTACACAGTCAGCCTCAAATGACTTCCGAGCGACCTTGACCCTCAAGAAGGTCAAGGTCATTGACCATTCCCGTCGCTCGTCCTTCGTTAAAAAGTTATTAACCAAAAAATATTTAAAAATAACGTACTATTTCTGCGTATATTCTGCGTACTATTTACGTGGATCTACTTTATTTGTAAAGTAACTTTCACCTCCCCCTGCATAGAAGCACACGACTTCTACGATTGTATTGTTGCTATGATAGTACTGTCGGGGCAGACCTCTGAGACGGTGTGGGTGCGGGGGGGGCCGAAGGCCATCCCCTTGCATCCGCCCGTGTGTGTGTGTGTGTGTGTGTGTGTGTGTTCCATTCGTTATATAACAATTATAAGTCTATTACTTGATATTTTACACACACACACACACACACACACGGGCGGGTGCAAAGAGGTGGCCTTCGGCCACCCCCTCCGCACCTACACCGTCGACAGAGGTCTGCCCCGACAGTATTATCATAGCAACAGTACAATCGTAGAAGTCGTGTGCCCCTGTGCAGGGGGGTGGGGATAAAAGTTACTTTTAAGTTTAACGTTTCTGAACAGGGAAAGATGTAGAATAGTACTTCATATCATACATGTATAGCAGAAATAATGCGTTTATTTTAAAACTATGTTAATAACTTTTTAACGAAGGATGAGCGACGGGAATGGTCAATGACCTTGACCTTCTGAGGGTCAAGGTCAGAGGATCAAGGTCAAGGTCAAGGTCACTCTCCTCCTGCGCGTGGAGATGCCCCTGATCCGCGGGATGACGCTGCCGCGCTCTGTCCTAGACACGGCAGGCGGCGTCCTCCCCGTGGGAGACGGGGCAGGGGAGGTGCCGGGAGTCGGGCCGCCACGAGGGGTCGGTGATCCTTAAGACGGAGGGAGGATCGGGTCTCGTGATGAGGCCTGGTCTTCCTCCTGTCGGCGGCCCGCCTCTCGGATGGAGGAGGGGAGCGTGAGGGAACGGGGCGGGTTATCCTGTCCCTCACTGAAAGCTCCCGCGGGTATTGCGGGGAGGAGGTCTTGCTCCCCTCTCCCCGCGGTGAGGAAGCCCCCCCCTGAGGGGGGCTGAGCAGAAGAGTGCTCAGCACTCCGGCCAGAGGCCGCCCCGGACGAATACCTCTGGTGATACCCGGGGCGGTCTCTACATGGCGAGAGACAGAGCAAGAGCTGAGGTTTTAGTGGGTATTCCCGTCCTGGTTAGGACGAGTGAGTCCCACATAACCCTGGCAGTCACCCGCGACTGTCGGGGTATGCGTAAATCTAAGCTTAAAAAAAAAAAAAAAAAAAGGTCAAGGTCACTCGGAAGTCATTTGAGGCTGACTGTGTAATTCGAAATATTTACCATAATCATTCCTCATTTTTCAACAGCGAATTTTCAAACTACTCAAATGTTAAATTATTTTTCGAGTATCTAGTAGTTTGATAAAAGTTCTGGGTAGCTCTCACAATTGTCTTTAACAATCAAAGCGCTACAATCAAAATTATAAATTTTATAGCTATTTCTCATTTTCAGTTTTTGTGGATATTCTTTTTTCAGGTTTTCATCAGTTTGAAATCTATATTTAATCAGATTATTTAATTATTTGTGACATCTCTTGTCTCATAGGAGATGTCATTTTACCCGCCGTACATTTATAGATGCTACTTTTGTAATGTATGGAATATCAATATCTTTTATACCAATTATACGGAATATTAAATGTGTAATTCGTATTAATTTGTATGAATATAAGGAAAGGTTTCTAGAATACTAATAATATCTCTTCGTGGATTATATATTTTAATAACATAAAGAGAATTGTTTATAAATAAATACTTAAATGTAACATTCCCTGGAATTACTTTACATTCTTTTGTTTCTTAATTTATTAATAAAAAAGATTATTAACCCCTTCAGACAGCATCAATTATTGAACCATATTAAAATAAAAAACATTTATTAGAACCACTAGAATAAGAAGGAAATAGTTTAAGAAAAGATTAAAATTTTTTTCAATTTAAACCAATAAGGAGAAGCAGTAGCAGTCTAAGTTGGATTACGGATGCTTCTATATATAATTGCGTGTGAATTCATATATATACTACATATGTAAATCTATGATTGCGCACCGAAATTTTTTCAGATTTGAAACGCAACTCTACTAAACTATTGCAGTAATATCACGAATTAAATTCTAAAAGTCAAGTTTAAAAAAATTTTGACGTGTAATTAAGAAAATAATCTTACCTTTCAATCCTGTGGATTCTAGTTGGCCAGATGCCCTTGGCATTAGCTCGATACCCTTGGATAGTTCTTTATTTTAGATAATTATCCTTTATATTTATTTGTTTTTTTAAAACTCAATTTCGTCCATTATTTTTAAATATTATCCTTTACTTTGTAAGATATTAAAAATTTCAATGGATATATTAAGTGTGAAATTAATTGTTCTACTAAAAATGCAAATATTATACTATTATATATAAAAAGAAGTAAACCTGAAAATTTATTTCAGTTATGGTACAGTATGTTCTACATGAAGTATTAAACAATTTTAGTTGGCTTAGTTTCCTACACATTTTACAAAAGAGACTCTTCCGTCTGATTCCTTATATAAGTTTGTTCCATGGTCAACTATCTTTTTTCAACATAGCATTACAGAATGCAAGATGTCGTCGTCTACCAAATATACTTCAAAATGTAGTTTGTCTTGCAAAAGATCCTTGTTGTGGTAAGATTGTGTAATATTTACTTAAAATGTAATTTTATGTTGTTGTTTTAATGATAAAATTTATGATTTACTTCATTATAATTATTTTCAGGTTTGGATTGTAAAGATGGAGTGTGCAAAAATCAACAATCTTATTTTCGAAACTTTAAAGATGATATGAGTTTTGAAGAAAGTATAATATATCTATCTGTATCACCAATTTTGTATTTTGCTCTATTAATCATATTGGAAGAAAAGTTATTGTTAAAATTATTCACAAAGATGGTTGGTACAAAATTAAGAAAGGAGCAAGATACAATGGATGATCAAGTGAAAAAAGAGAAACTTGCTGTAGCGATAGAAATCAATAACATCAACAACCAAAGTAAAATAATTTTTAGTATCTTATAAAAGAAATGATATATAAGTTATAGATCCATATAAATAACTTAATTTATGAATATTATAATTTACATAAAATATGTATATGACTTTATGTAACAGGTGTAAATATGAAAGAAGAATTAAAATCAAGTGCTACAGAGACTACTAATTTAGAACCATTACAAAGTCCAATAAGTGATGATAATAGTCTCTTCCTAGTATATGAATTAAGCAAATACTATGGGAAGTTAATGGCCGTGAAAGAAATCAGTTTTCGAGTAAAACCACGAGAATGTTTTGGATTACTCGGTGTAAATGGCGCCGGAAAGAGTACAACTTTTAGGATGCTAACTGGAGAAGAAATGCCTAATAGTGGCATAATGTACTTAAAACAAGCAGATATCTGTTCACAGAGGACACAGGTATCTAATAATTTATACAGTAATTTCTTTAATGTTATATTGTTTATAATATTAGAGAATTGTTTTGTGTAGTATCTTTCTGAAATGGGATACTGTCCACAAACTGATGCTTTAATACCTTCCTTAAATGCTTTTGACCATTTACGACTGTTTGCTCGTCTTCGTGGTATACCAAAGGCTAATGTAGAGTTGGAAGTTAATAAATGGATTAATAGACTAAGTAAGTGAACTGCGATAATAGATAGCAGAATTTTAAAAAGATAATGCATATGGTAAATATGAATAATATATTTTTTTAGATTTAACTGCTTGTATGAAGCAGCCAAGTGATACTTACAGTGGTGGTAACAAGAGACGCTTAAACATCGCGATGGCTCTTATTGGTAATCCTACTCTTGTTCTTTTGGATGAACCTACAACTGGTGTCGATCCTGCAGCTAGAAGATCACTTTGGAACACTTTACAGTCGTGTCAGGCAGCAGGACAAGCTATTATACTTACGTCTCATAGGTATTTTTTAGAGTCTAAAAATTCGAAATAAAATATTTGAATGAAAATTTTAATATAATTCATTTTGTTGAACGGAATATTAAAATTGTATTGTTCAACAGTATGGAAGAGTGTGAAGCACTTTGTAATCGACTAGTCATTATGGTGAAGGGTGAATTAGTTTGCATTGGTGCAAGTCAAGAATTGAAACAGCGATTTGGAGCCGGTTATGATATTCATATACAATTGAATCTAAACCGAACGGGCGAAGATGTTAGCAATATAAAGAAAATTATTGAGTCAGCTTTAACATGCGATATTAGAGATGAAAATTTGGTAATGATAATACTTTGATTACTTAGGAGACAATTGATTCTTTTAATTTTTTATTTCTTTATCTTATTAATCATTTTTATTAATCTTTACAGGGTTTTCTTGCTTATCACGTAACTGATTGTAATACAACGTGGGAAAAAATGTATGATACAATGAAGAATCTAAAACAGACATACAGTTGCATCGAGGATTACGCTGTTCTATCTGCAACTTTGGAACAACTTTTTATTCAGTTTGCAAGAGGAGCTGAAATGATAGAGTCTAATAAATCTCCAATTCGTATTACTAGTCATCAAGAAACAGTATAATTTAAATACATATTGTATTATGCATTGACTTGCATACATAGAAGTATACTTAAATGTACTAGATAGACACAGGAATTAATTTAAAATTTATTTTTATTACAAATTGCATATGTTGTTAAGATTGACTATATTATAATTTTATTTAATAAAATTGTAATATCTGTATCAGTACACATTGTTACAATTTAATATCACATTTATTAATATTAATATATATTGTATAATATTTGATAAGATATTAATATATTTTTTAATTTAAATGAAAATTTAATATTAATTTAATATCACGTTGAGAATTTAATCATTACTACAAACTGTTTTTAAATTAATGCAATAATTATTACAACGATATGCATTTTTCTATATATAAATAGAATTTTTATATAGATGATAAAAGTATTAGAAATTTATATATAGATTACAATATTATATAATTTATTGATGTTTCATTATATGTACATATGTAAAACAATTTACATACAATATATACTTCACAGTGTTAATACACCATTTGTTTATTTAATTTCTTCATTTATAATATACATATCAAAATATATGATTGTATGTAATGTGTGTGTGTTGTGTATGTGTATAGATATATGTAATAAACGCAAAGAATAATGCACAATACATCTCGCAGTTGTTATATCAGTTGCACAGTGTCATGTATATGTATAAGGCGCTTCGATATCAAGTTTGCACAAAAGCGACTTCAAAAAAAAAAAGAAAAAAATTAGAGAATGAGCCTTTCATAAATAAGTCACATTACTTTATATAAATAAAAAAATTACATGAATGATATATCGTTATGTACATGAAATAGATAAACGGAAAATGGTATGCATGCCTGTGTACGATATGCACGTAAATGATCAATCTGTTGCCTAATATTGGTAGCCACTGCTTGAACTTGTTTGATACGAGCTTGGTCCCTGATAGGCACTACTTCCATGGCCGCTATGACCACCTCCTGATATAACGAGACAGTTTGATAACCAGTACTAATAACTATAGTAACCAGTCATGCATAAGATATTAATATGCGTTATTATAAAAGTTTGTTTATATTTAATTGAAATCCTATAACATTATACCTCCGCTGGGATATCCACTGCCTCCATGCGAGTATCCTCGACCACCACCACCATCCTGATTCTCTCCCCTGGCTTCGGCGGCGAGCGCTAATTCAACACCTCGTTGAATTTCCGGTGGAATCGGAGGTGGTGTCGGCAAGTGAGCGCCTTGAGGGTGAAAACCATATTCGTCCGCCGTATACGTGATCGAATATTGCACACCATCGGAACCAGTATAAGAAAAGGATCCGCTCACCGATTCGGATTCTCCTGCAACACGGCACGCACTTGTTTTGATGCAATGTCTCCATTGTCATCGATTACATCGCATTGCGACACGACACTTCCATGATTTCAGAAGCAAGCATTATCTAACTATTGCTTCAAAACTGATATACAGCCACTTCAAAAATTAAACGATTAATAATTCAATCAGATAACGGAAATGCAATCTCGTACCTTGCCGATGGCCTGTTTCTTGCACGGTAATACCATTTCCAGTTTCATAACTGTATTGATAGTTTCCGTCACCGGCGTTCTCATTAGTATAAGAGATAATGGGTATCTGTTGACCACCATGGCCACCGCCACCCAATCCACTACCTAAAATACGAAATAGAATGTTAAAAATCACATATCTAAGTCGCATTTGAAAAAAAATTAACTAATTTTCAAGGAAACAATCGTAATGTAATATTTCTAAAAAAAGATCTAAATTAACTTAAACTTTCGTGTAATAATCGCAATAGAAACTTAATTGATATTCAAATAGATACAATTAAATAGATAAATAACTATGAAATAACACATAAAATAAAATAATTACTTCCCTCCTTGTTTAGTAATTATACTCTTATGCAAACTTATCACCTGCGTAAGCGCCGCCACCACTGCCAGGACCAAATCCGCCTGACCCACCATGACTGCTAGGACCTGCACTTATAGAACCACCAAAACCACTTGGACCACCAAAACCACTTGAGCCACCGAAACCACTCGGGCCACCGAAACCACTCGGGCCACCGAAACTACTTGGACCACCTGAACCACCTGGGCCACTAAGTTTAATTGGTCCACCTCCACCGTGTCCTGATGGAGGATGAATCAATCCTGCTCCACCTGCACTTCCGGCACTACCAGGCGGAAGATAATTGGTGTCTAATCTTGCGGCATAGCACGTACCAATGATGGCCAGCAATGCTATGGACAGCTGTTGAAATATGCCGAAAGGAATAAAAATTGTGCAAGAAAATACAATAGTTATTTACAATTAAATAAGTAATCGAACAAATACAGATAGATTTTATTTTTTTCGAACACACATTACACATATCGGTCTGTACAGTAAAGTCATGCAGTACCGCGAGTTGGAGAACCGTCCATAAAATTTCGTGCGCGATAGATTCTGTTTTCAATTAATTAGGTTGTAATTAACTAGGTCAACTGGAAGATATCCGAGACTCGTTCCAAATTTCGAACTAAAGTCCCAAAGGGACTTCCATTGCACGACTGATATATCGTACCGATCTCATTTCGTTGGTTGCGCGTGTAATCGTGTCGATCGATCCCAAATAATAGGTATTATTGAATATCACACTGTTCAAATCGTATATCGCCAAACCGACAATGATAATTGATCTGCAAGTATCCAAGTTGCATCCAGCATGCTTATATAGCGGTCCCGCGCGAGGATCGTCTTCCTCCCACCCTCCAACAAGCAATCGGGGATGGCACCACGGCTGGATATAATCCGGTGATGCGTTCTTCGAAGATTCGCCGACGAATCCTCATTGACTCGTAGAGATATCGAGAGGAGAAGAAGAGAGAAGAAGAGACAGAGTGCTGGATGGCACGGTGGGAGGGCCATCGGAGGGGGTGGCAGTGGCGGGGGAGGGTATCCGTCAAGATGAACCTCATCGAGGTAAGATGAGGGGTAATTGCGCAACGACAGGTTGTTACAGATCGACAGGCATCTCCGAATGGATCTGAAGGTCGGCCAATATGGGATTGGTATGAAAGCGAAACGATAGGGTTGAGGCAATGAGCTATGAAAGCAAAGTAAATTAAACGCTGCACTCAAGATATATATATATTTCAATGAATTGAATATTAGATTAGTACTTTGATAAGGATCCGAACTAGGATCGAAACGTTGTACAATTATCACAAAATAAACGCATTCACAACTTCACACCAAGTGCAAGGACTCGAAAAGGCATTATTTCTATTTCCTTTTAATTTTTATTACACGAGTCTATCAAATTATTATTTTTCATTATATATATATATATATTTCACTTTCATAGATATATAGATTAAAGAGCGCTATTTAAAACAACTCAATATTTTCGTGTAAAGTGCGTGTATCACATTGAATCTCTCAGAATTTCTCAAATTAAATGAAAGTATTTGATTTCACGGTGCCACCATATCCTCTCGAGGAGAGGCGGACGAAAGGCGGTGCGCGGGAAAGCAGCTCTGAGCCGATGACGCGGCCGGTATGTTTTGTACTCGCCGCGCGTTTCTCCCTTGTAATTATACATCGGCTCTTTCAATGCGAGAATTATACCCGCGGGGTCGTCATCGTACCGTCGCGTCGTCGCGCTGCGACAGGCTCACGTGTTTGCGCAATCATCATGCGTTGACAGCATCTCTGGGAGCGCATCGACTGATACGAGAGGATCATCGTGCACGCGTTCATTCGTGTATGCCAGGTCGGGAACTGGGTGTGCTGGTGACGAAGTATATATAGGTACTATCATAGATATAGGTGCCTGGACAACCCGGGATGATCTCCTGCGTGGAACGTGGGTTCTAAACGTGCCCACGTGTGACGTAAAGTTTATCTTTCTCGTCAGTTACAGCAACAGTTATTAATGAGAGCTATTATCTCGTCAAGAACCCGCGCGCCTTTTTTTTATTTAGACCGTCAGAAGATATTCGGATAATTATATATATATATATACCTATATGGCCGAGAATCAGATCCGGTTAGCCGAAGATTCGACGATTACGTAAGACGAGCTGTAAAAGAACTAATCCGCGAGATCGGTTCGTATAGCTCGCGCGATCGTGCGAGAATATTACGCATATGATATAATTGCGCGATCCTAACACGGCTCGGTGCCGTAAACAGTTTCATAAAATAGAACCGCGCGCATAAACCGAAGCATTCGAAATCGTCAAGGTATTACCGATCGACACGTAACTCGCCGGTTAACGATCCACCTCTGGGTCACCGTACTCACGCTTCGTCGTAGGTAGACGAAGCGATGATAGTATTCCAATAGGCATCCTGCAGAATTCCCGCTCGCCTCGTATAATGGAGAGAAGGATAGCGTATATGTACGTGCTTGTCTATAGATTCCCAGGGAGATGAAGCGGCCGAACTTCGGATCTATATTGAGAAATCTTATAACTGCAAAATCATTACGCTCTTTCGACGTTACGTGAGATTCTCAGCGGTGTGCACAAAGAGGAAATAGGAGGAAACACGCGATAATTCGCATGTTCCAATTCTCGAGTTTAAATAGATGTTTTCAACGAGTTGCGCGGATGCAGAGGTACGGTCGAGACGAAAAATAGCGAGCGTGAGCCACGAGCTTATGATAATAGGATACAACGACTCCATGTATCAAAACACTCTTAGAACGGTGTTGCTGAGGTATTACAAAATTTAGGTAGATACAGATCTGAAAACAATTTTGTTAGATTATTAAGATAATTACATATGTAGGATTATGGTTGCTAGAATTTTAAAACTTTTTGCAACATGTTACTCATCATGCTCGAGATTCCTATATAATTATTTTAATGGTCCAGTAAAACTATTTTCGGATTTATATTTTAGATAGGTATTTCAGCAAGATTATTCTTCATGTGTAGGACGCTCGAAAAAAAAAGAAAGAGAGAAATTTTATCAAATTGGAATCCTACAGGCGAAGAATATTATTAAAAATAAATTTGTTAATCAAAATATACAGATATGTAAGATGCTGAAGCTGGTTGCTAGAATGTTAAAGCTTTTTACAACATCACTTATCATATGCTTAAATTTCTTATGCAATTATTTTGATCCAATAAAACTATTTTCAGATCTGTATCTAAATTTTTAGAAATAAACAATATAATTCTTCAAAGACGAAATTTTTAGATACCTCAGTAAATTATATCTCTCCGTCTAGAATACTACAGAATAATAATACCGCAGAATGTCATCATGACTTTATTTGTCATTTTTAGATGATTCTTCCGATATAACTATATTCATTTCTATCTGGAGCATCATATACTCTTCAAGGAAGATCTCTTATACAATTACTGCCTTTGAGTAGATGATTCTATGTCCATCCCTTGGCATGCAATTCATGTATTTAATCTAGCTTGCTGCTCGTGTTATGCCAGAGATGAGATTCACCTTCGCGAGAAATCTCTGTCGGAACCGCATAGGATTCACGTACGTGAATTTCGAAGTGTATCGAATTCCATGCACGCGTTCGTTCGCCGAGAGACGCGGCGTCGGGAGATAATTGGAAGGATTGAACGGATACGGTTCTCTCTGCGATTAATCCCAAAGATTTCAACGTTCTTCAGATCTTATCGATCGCGCCAGAAAAGGCTTCGTCCTTTATCCAGCCTTCAGTTGGTGATACTTCTTCGATACAAATCTATCTTTATTTAAAAAAAAAGACATATTATGACACGTTATGACATTTATTTGACGTTATTTGATATTTTTGCTTTTCATTTTGGCGAATTAGCTTGTATTACCAAGAAACACAAAAGTTAACAAAAAGTCAAAACAATTCTAATTTTTAATATCAATAAATACAGTCAAATTTTGTATTGGGTTTTTTAACGGAGTTATGAGCAATTAAAATCAGAATGCTTCTTTACTTAATTCGCGAATAACTCAGGAATAAAAAATCGTAGGAACGTCTTTCAAAAACAAATTTATTTCAGGAAAAACTGTAAGCTTTCACGTTAGATAGTCGAAAAATTTTTTTTGGTACATAATAGACCTACAAAGTGAGAAGAAAAATTTCCTTTTTCTTCAGCTTGTAGTTTTCTATATGTAAAAAAAATGACCAAATTCAGATAAACTAAAAAATTATGGAAACCTTTTGAAAATAGAATTTTTAAGCTTTAAAATCTATTTATTAAATTTAAATATTGTTCATTTTTTACGAAGATATTGTATATATAGTTTTGAGCTACAAAAACCGCAGAACTTTTCCTTTCCTCCAATTCAATATAAATAAAAAATCATTAACTTGATTTTTATTACGTCAAAATAAAGTCATTTTGACTTTCTCTTGACTTGAAGTGCCTTCTATTTAGTAATACAAGTCGACGCAAAATGTCGTTTATCTATTTTTCTTTGTGTTCACGAAGACAGAACAATGCTTGTGTTAAGGTAAATGGAAGGAGGCATCCTCAATGTGTTCCTTGAGTCGGTTTGTCCAATTAGTGCGCAAGCTAGCCGTAATTCAACGGCACGAGCTTGTACCCGAGCTCAACCAACTTTCGATGGTGCATCGCGGAAGTATCCCGATATTGAAAAGCGATATATGAAGGAGATTGTGCAGAACCGGGAGCGTATGTTCTACCTACGCTCTCATCCTCGCGATCTCGCGAGGATACGCGCGATCGTATCATTTCGAAAGAATGAGAGCCCACGTAGTTGCGGAGGTCGAAGAAGAAAAAAAAAAGATTGCGGTCTCTCTGGCGATTTACGCATCATCACGGTATTGACGCAATTCCACGACGTGGCAAAACAAGGAAAAAGGGACGAAGCTGATTTCTATATGCTTCTCGCGGGGATTAAAAAGCAGCTGCCGTCCATATTTCACTATTCTCTAAGTTCTTTGGAGTAAAATTTCACTTCAAAGAGTGAAAATTGAGCGAGTTGAGAAAAAGAGCGGCTCGATGTTTAAAATCCTTAGGATTTTACTTTTCAGAGCGACAATTCTAAAAGCCGTAGAAAGTATATACGTTTCAAAATCGGCAGATTTCAGACCAATGCGATGCCAAGTTTAAGTTAAATTAATATATGTGAATTCAATCACTCGCATTGCACTACTCTTTAGTGAGCATTAAACTCAAGCAGTAAGATGACATTATATGATCATTGCAGTAAACGTCAACATGATGTCAACTGAGAAGGCTGCTTTATGTAAGTACATCATAAGTGAAATAATATAATCAACTTTGTTAATAATAATGAAATAATATACATGTATGTATGTATATCTATATTCTGTTAAATAATAATGTGACGACATCCATGGTTGGGTAAAATGCCTTTCGAATTTCATTTAAAATTACTATAAATGTAAAATACTTTAAAAACGTAGCTATATTTAACATGCAAAATGCAAAATAGGTTTTTCGAATTCATTTTAAATGTAAAATGGATTAATAGGTATTTTAAATGGTTTCTGAATACAAAATTGTTTTAACCTGTGGAAAAAAAAATTTTACCGAAAAAGTACAGAAAAACTACTTAGATTGAAACAAGATCTTAGAAATTCTTAATTTTTCGTTATTATATTATTAGTATAGGACGCAGAATAAGGTTTGTTTGTCTTAGAAATCCTTATAGTTTTTCGTAAAAACTTTCCGCTGAGGTCATATATATTTTTTAAAAGTATTTTATATTTGAAATTCATTTTCAATGAAATTCGAAAAGCATTATATACACATATATATATATATATATATGTATGTATATGTATGTGTAAAAATTCCAAAAATAACTTAGTCTTGGTCATAGTATTATAAATAAAGTATTTCTGACAAAAATATTAAAAAATTTTTTTTTAAATAATATACGTTTTTTAATTTCATGTACAGCAGCTTTTAATATGCATTATCGGAAACAATATTAATATTAATAACTTTGAGTAGATATGTATAAATGTTTGACCAAAATCAATTTGTCCACGCGCGTGTGAAACGTTAAACTTACGGGTCAATTCTAAGCAGAATCGTAAAATGTTCTCGTAAGAACTTACAAGTGCTTATAACTTTATGCAATATATTTATAGATAACTTCTTACTAGCCGTAAGATTTACGATAAATATAAAGTACATATTTTTACGAATGATCGTACATCTTACGATACGTAGAATCACAATATCATAAGTTCTTACAAGCTTTACAAGCTTTACGTGAACAAGTTACAAGCCTTTAGGATTCCGCTTAGAATATATTAACCTATTAATTACATATCTACCAATTTATTCGCTTCGATTGCATTGTAAATTAATGGAAAACACGTAAGACATCGTTACGTCATTTCGCGAGAGACTGTGCCGTTTTTACGAGGCGCATAATTGGGATGCCCCGTTAATTTCCATTAATTTTCATCGCAACGACACCTTCCGCCGTCATTAAACGAATACTGTCCCTGGCGTTTGTTGCGCCTCATTTTCATAATCCTTCCTCATAGATTGCTGCAAAATATAGTACTGGCATTATTTTATTGCCGGCTAGCATCTTCCCACGATCATCTTTCTCGATATGTACGTTCTACGGTACATGATGGATGTTTCTTGAGCGATGATCGATGTGTAGGGTATCGCGGATCTATTTATAATATAATCGGGCATTGAGATTCTCAAACAATCCATTGTATAATAAAGTTGATCATTTTGAATATTATCCGGAAATCCTCGAATATCTTAAAAATTTGAATTGAGGTCATCTTATCCATCATATATAATTTCTTTACTTTCATAATAATTTCTCAATTAATGCACCAATTAATTCTACATGCAGTAACTTAATATCAATGTTACAATTTAAGACTTAAGAACGTAATTGTTATGCATATACAACATGTGTTATATTATATTTATTTATATCGTTTAGTGTGAAATTATAACGTTAGAGATTTTCTATAATAAGCCGTTATCTAATAAGCTTAAATCATAAGTTGTAAGAAATCGACCAATCACAGTTGTGAATAGCAGGAGAATAATCGACTATGATTGGTTCATTTATTCTTACGGCTTAAAATTTAAAGCTTATAAGATAAGTAATGGTTTATTGCATAAAAAGCCTATATATATATTAATAACGTTATGTAATTGTTAGTTGGCGTTTATTTTTTATTAGCAATATATGCACACATTATAATATTCGTTTTGAAGACCCTTACAATATTAATTATGAGCAAACAATTGTAAGGGGTTATTTAAAAAATTCAAGATGACTTTGACTTTTTTATTAAAATTTTTTTTTAATTTTTCTATCGCATGTTGTATTCCACATAAAACGGATGAATATT